CTCTTCTACCTCTCTCCTTCCCTCCCTCTCTTCCTACCCTCCTCCCTCTCTCCCTCTCTCCCTTCCCTATCTCTCCTCCTCCCTCTCTCTCTCCCCTACCCTACCTCCCTATTTTCTCCTCCTCCTACCTCGCCTGTCTTTCTTCACTCCCCTCTCCCTCTTCCTACCTCTTTCCTCTTGTTTTCTCTCCTACCTCCTTCCTCCTCGTCTCCTTCCCTCCTGCCACCTCCCTCTTCTTCCTCCTATCTTCCTCCTCCTCCTTCTCTCCCCCCTTCTTCTTCCTCCTGCCTCCTACCTTCCTCCTCCCCCTCCCCCCTTCTTCTTCTTCCTGCCTCCTGCCTTCCTCCTCCTCCTCCTCCTCCTCCTCCTCCTCCTCCTCCTCCTCCTTCTCTCCCCCCCTCCCCCCTCCTCCAGAACCCTTGATTGTCTTCGGTCTATATATCACTCTTCCTCATCCTTTTCTCCCTCCTTCGCACCCCTTCTCTCTCTCTCCTCCCCCCCCCCTTCCCTCTCTCTCTCTCTCGTTTTGTTCCTCTGTCTCCTTTTCCTCATTTTTTCGATGAGGTCTCTTTTTTTTCTGCTTCTTCTTCTTCTTTTCATTCTTCTCGTAGTTTTTTTCGTGTTTTTATCGTTTTCTTACTCTCTTTTATGATTTGCTTTTTTATTTTCTTCTCGTCCTTCTCCTTCTTCTTCGTTCTCCTCCTCTACTCCTCCTCCTCCTTTTCCTCTTCTTCTCCTCCTCCTCCTCGTCTTCCTCCTCCTCTTTTTCTTCTCCTCTCTATTACTTTTCTTTCCCCTCTTACTCTTTCTTCTCCTCCTCTTCCTCCTTTCCCTGTGTAAGAAAAAAAATCATAATCTATCTATCTATCTATCTCTTCTCTTCTCTATCAGTTTCTCTCTCTCTTTCCCTCTTCTTCTCTCTCTCTCCCTCTCTCTCTCTCTCTCTTCTCTCCCTCTCTCTCTCTCCTCTCTCTCTCTCTCTCTCTCTCTCTCTCTCTCTCTCTCTCTCTCTCTCTCTCTCTCTCTCTCTCTCTCTCTCTCTCTCTCTCTCTCTCTCTACTGTCTCCCTCCTCTCTTCCCTACCTCCTTCCCCCCTTCTCTCCCCCCTTCCGCCCTTCCCCCCTTCCCTCCCTCCCTCCTCTCTCTCTCCCCCTCCCCCCCTTCCCTCATCCATTGCTGTTGACGGCCTGGGTTTAAGAGCGGGAGGGGGGTGGGTACAGTGGGGAGTGGGGGGGAGATTGATTTTGACAGCTGAGGGGGGGTCGGGGGGGAATTTCCGGCCCTGAGGAGGTGAAGGCGAAAGCCCCCAGGGTCAGGCGGAAGGAAATAGTTTTATCTAGGGGATTTGCTTTGGGAATTAGGAGAGAGAGAGAGAGAGAGAGAGAGAGAGAGAGAGAGAGAGAGAGAGAGAGAGAGAGAGAGAGAGAGAGAGGCAGCCATTGTTGTCTACTTCTTCGTCGGCGGCAAAGTGTCTCAAAGTCATCGCCGAAGTTAGGAATCTGTGTCGGGTGTTGTCTTGGTGGTGATTGGATATGATTGTATGAGATTATGTCGACTTTGTTATTTTTTTTTATTGAAATTGTTATTGTTTGATTCTTTTTTTAATCATTAATAGTTGGTCTTCAATAGTGTGTATGTTATTATGATATACTTGTGTAGGTTTGGGCACATACACGCACAGGCGCACACACACACACACACACACACACACACACACACACACACACACACACACACACACACACACACACACACACACACACACACACATACACACACACATAGAAGATAATTACTGCATATAGATAAATATAATTCTCAAAACCTCTACTCTTTCCACATATTAACGACGTTCTTTTGTTTCATTGTTTACAGAGGCGGAAAATTCGTTAGTGTCGGAGATAAAATTCGTCTCCCTGATGACGTCACCATCGGATACGTTGTTGGTAAGTTCGATTTGAATTTTTTTTTTTTTTTTTTTTTTTTTTATTTCGTGTGTTTGCGATTATTGTATCGTAATGTCGTTTTTTTTTCTTTCTTCTTCTTCTTTTTAAAAAAAAAAAAAAAAAAAAATCATTTTTTAAAAACGTGTGAATCATTACCTTTATTTTTTCTTCAATTTTTTTTTCATCATCATTAACTGAATTTTCTTCCTTAACCCCCCCCCCCCTTTTTTTTTCTCTCCCCCCCTAAAACAGAGCACGTACTACGGAGGAAACTGACGGTCCTGGACGAGTTTCATTCACACCTCGAGTCCATGAAACTTCTCAACACAGACAACCTCGCCAGTCAGGTTGGTGTGGAATCCCGTTTTCTGTGGATGGAAGGGAAGGGGAATTGAGGAGGAGGAGGAAGGAGGAAGGAAGGGGGAGGAGGAGGAGGAAGGAGGGGGAGGAAGGGAGAAGGAGGAGGGGGAGGAGGAGGAGGAGGGAGGGGAAGGGGAGGAAGAGGAAGGAAAGGAGGAGGAGGAGGAGGAGGAGGAGGAGGAGGAGGGGGGGGCGGTTGTAGGGAAAAAAAACTGTAGGAGAGGAATGGTATATTGCAGGGGGGGGGGTAGGAGAAAAGTTGGTATAAAGAAGTAAACAATGGATGTAAATTTAAGTAAATTTATGTAAATTTATGATTAAAATTTAAGTAGACTTTTAGAGTATATACATAGGTGGAAAGGTATGACTTAGGAGTTCGTGCTGGGAGAAAATGCCAGGTTATGAGGATATGCAGTTGAAGAAGTTTATATATATATATATATGTATATATATATATATATATATATATATATATATATATATATATATATATATATATATATATATATATATATATATATATAACGGATAGGTAACTGGAGAGAGAGAGAGAGAGAGAGAGAGAGAGAGAGAGAGAGAGAAAGAGAGAGTGAGAGAGAGAGAGAGAGAGAGAGAGAGAGAGAGAGAGAGAGAGAGAGAGAACGGCATCCAAAGAGTAAAGATTAGGAGCGGGCTTTAAGATGAATGAGTCTCTCTTTTTTTAATGTTGTTTCTCCATTTTCTTATCTGTTTGTCGATTTCACTGAGGCATAAACCTTCGTGCATATTGCCCTCTCATTTTCTCTTTTGTCTTATCGCTAATCTTGCTTTGTTGGTCTACACTTCTCCTCCCCATCTTTCTCACTCTATTTTTTCGCTATTTTTCGCTCTCTCTCTCTGTCTCTCTCTCTCTCTCTCTCTCTCTCTCTCTCTCTCTCTCTCTCTCTCTCTCTCTCTCTCTCTCTCTCTCTCTCTCTCTCTCTCTCTCCCTATCTCTCTCTTCATTTTCTCAAAGAAATTACAAAATTCCCCAGTAAAAAGGTAATGAAATGACCAAATAGATACATTCACAAACGAATACATAAAAGATTAATAAGTTTTCACCACCCCCCCCACAAAAAAAGACTCCTTAAAGAAACAGAAAAATAAGCGAATGAGGTTCTCGTTTAAATTTTTAACGCTTCTCGTAACAAACGGTTCATTTGTTCAAAGTGCAAAAGTGTTCTCTCATTTGGCCGAAGGTGTTCATGTAAAGTGTTCTCCTCTTTTTATGGTGTTATTTCTGTTTGTTCTTTTATTTCATCTTCTGAGAGAGAGAGAGAGAGAGAGAGAGAAAAGAGAGAAGGGAGGGAGGGAGGGAGAGGGATAGTAGATTGATAGAAAGAAATAGACAGAATAATACAAATACAATTCTCCACCTATTAAAACACCATCACAAAATCACATTAACCCCCCCCTCCTCCCTCCCTCCAACAATTCACCCCAACTCGCTCCCTCCCACACACCACCCCCATCACAATTCACCCCAACTCCACACATACTACCCCCACCACACCACGCCCACCCCAACTCCCCCACACTATCCCCCAACTCACCTCCCTCAACACAACCCCAACTCACCCTCCCCAACTCCCCAACACCCCCCAACACAACCCCCACCACCACCTCCACCCCCACCACCCCCACCAACAAATCACCCCCCCCCAACTCATCCCACCTTTTTCTCTCTCCCCCCCAACAGATCAGCTTCAGCTACTCGAAACACCCGCGGGGGAAGATGAACGCGCTGCCCATACACGGCCTCGACGCCTCCCAGGACCCAACCAGGTGAGAGGCCCTTATAAGGTTAATTAAAGAGGGGAATTATAGCGAGGGGGAAGGGGTGGGGAAGGGGAGGGGGAAGGGAGGGGGAGGTGGGAAAGGGAGGAGGAGGGGGGTAAGGAAGGTGGGTGGAAAGGGGAGGTGGGAAAGGGAGGGGGAGGGGGGGTAAGGAAGGTGGGAAAGGGAGGGGGAGGGGGAGGTAGGAAGGTAGGGAGGGGAGGGGGAGGTGGGAAAGGGGAGATGGGTAGAGAGGAAGGGAGGGGGGGGAGGGAGGAGAGAAAGGAAGGGACATGGAGAAAGTACAAAACAGAGGAAAGGGAAGGGAAGGAGGTGGAGAAAGGGAAGGCATAGAAAGAGGGAAGGTAGGAAGGTAAAGAAGGGGAAGAAGGGAGGGGGGGGGGAGGGGCATGAGGTAAATTACCGCGTATCTCTTTGAAGGCTTTGACCTTATTAGGGCAGAAGATGGGAAGCCCTGATGATGGCGATAACGAGGAATGCCAGAGAGGGGAGAGGGAGAAAGAGAAAGAGGAAGAAGGAGAAGAAACGATAGGATCAGTAAAAGAAGGAAGAAGAAAGAAAGAAAGAAAAAGAATAGAAGGAATTTGTAGAAAGAAGAAGAAAGTATAAAGAGATAATTCGTAAAGAAGAAATCAGTGATAAAACAGAGAGACGAAAAGGGAAGAGAAAAACGATCGGTAAGATGAAGGAACGAAATGAAAGTAGAAGAAGAAGAAGAGAAAGAAGAAGAAGAAAAAGAAAAAGAAGAATGAAGGAAGGAAAGAGTTGCAGAATCATGACTTGTTGCAGAGCAGGGGAGTTGAGGGGGGGAGGGGGATATGGGGTCAGTGGTGGGGGGGGGCGGCAAGGGAGGGGGTTGAGAGGGAGGGGAAAGGG